TATAATTCCATTCTGACCTGAAGTGACCCGTGGTGTGAAATTTGCCACCGAGATGGGACTCAATGCTCCATGCTCTTCATCACTTCCCGAGATGAGGCTCCCAACCCGTTCTTTTCATCCTTATTCTCCCCCCAAGTGGCCGGCACGGCATGGCTTGAGCGGATCTTGCGGAGCATCGACCAACCATCGACCAACTCCTCTTGAACTCCTCTTACGGACCTCGACGCGAGAAACCTCGCGCCTCGCGCGTTCGCGCGAGCGAACTCTCGCGCGCTTCACCTCGGGGCGAAGCTCACAGGAGCTGGGCATCCGCTTGGCGACCTTGAAGTTGGATCTCTCGGACCGGAAGACAAAGCGCTTCTTCAAGGCCCCCCGGCCCCCCCGGCTCCGCTCCACCGGGAACGGGGCGGTCTGGGGGGTAAGAGGGGCGAAAACTCCCATCAACACAAATGAGGAAGCTTGGTTCATGATGGAAGACAGATCGAAATACTTCAGGCAAAACAAGGTCACTCACTGACTCACAGTATATATGTGTTATTATGTGTTTTTCTTCTGAAATTCGACTCTGCGTCACTCCCCAGGTGTGCGGGATGTTTACTTCCACAGCTTTTCGAGGGGTTGTTGCGGAGCCGATGTGTCAGCATGTCGGAAGCCTGCATCTTCTCGTGCTTGCAGGAGAAGGAACGGAAGAGTCTGTTGGAGACACTGACTCCCGTTGGAGTCTCAAGCACTTGCAGGTGAGTGGCGACAGTGATTTCTTTCAGCCTATGGAAAGTCCGATGAATTTCTCTAAAATTGGCTTCCATGGGGACGGCTTAGTAGTACTACAGAGTTCGGGTTTGAACAGTGCCAGTGCGTATTGCTCTCTTTGGAGAGCAGTTTTGATTCCACCTGCACCACCTGCACCTGCATGCTACATGGACGGTCTTCAAGAGCCCAGGGGATGGGTGATTTCACAGCTATTTGAGATGGCTTTTCTCAAAAAAGCATGCTTCACGCGTACATCCCTTTTCATCCCAAACACACCCCATCGTGCGAATCCGCGAATCCTCCGGTGTCACGGTTGGTCCGGCTTTGTCCAGTCCAGCGACTCTCGTTGGGCGGCGTACAGGCCTTTCCGGCGTCCTGTTGGCCCCAGCTGGACCGGGTTTCAGGGTTTCAGCCTCTCGACCCACGCGCCTCTCGACCCGTTTCGCCCCAAAGAAGCTGAGAGTCTAGAACTGTTTTAGAACGCAGCCAGAAGAACAGAATCAGAAGAAAGATGAAAGAAAGTCATGAACCACTTGATTCGATGGGTCACACCACTCCGGACTCCGGACTTGGGCGGAAACGACGACACAACACAGCCCAAGACAACCGCCCGGACCTGAAGGAATCCGTCGCCGGTGCACTGAGGCCATCGCGGAAGCCAAAATGCAGAGGCGGGGGGGGGCGGTGAGCGCAACCACGAAGAAATCATTTGAAATTACCAAGAAAACGGTCCACCACACCTTAGATGGCCTTACTTACGCCCTTGGTTGGTTTTGATAGAGGGCTGTCCACCCACCGACTGGTGTACCACCGTAATTGGTACCTGGCACCGGACGCCCTTGGGACTCGCCCCACGTGGATGGAGGGATCGGATGGTCTGGCCGCGGTGACGCAGGCGCGGTGCCAGGTTTTCGCACCAAGCCTACCTACCAACGTTGGCTACTTAGAAGTGGTAGGTAGGCTCTACCAAGCTTTCGCGGTCCCAAATAACTCTACTTAGAAGTTGGCTACCCAAAATATGTTGGGTAGCCAACCCTCTCGAGCTACAACCGTGGATCCAAAACGGTGGCGGACCAAAACGGTGCCTTCACGGTGCCCGTCAACGTGAAGCGTGGGATGTTTCTACTATAGTTGACTTCTGGTGTTCAGCTCTGTGTAAAAGCTTTGGCTTGTTTCCCTGACCCCGTGGCGAAGTCTTCAGTTCAAGAGTTCTTGCCAAACGCGCTACTGTTGGTATGGCGATTGTGGTGTTTTGCTCGTTTGCAAGGTTCTTGGCCGAACAAGCCCAAGAAGGCTAGAACCTCAGAAATTTGGACGGGTTCGTGGAATAACTTGGGGTTCATCAACATGATGCAACATGTCAAATCGTGTAAAATCGCAAACCATGTAAACTCAGGTGTTCGAAACGGGGTTTCGGTTCGTTCCAAAGTCACATCCTGATTTTGGGCGGAAGCCGATGATCCCCGGTTGCAGAGGACGCACCCCAGGTGGAACGCTCGGCCGCCCAAAGGAGCGGAGAAGCCTCAGGTTTTGTTCATTTGATCCACACCCAGGTGGCTCAACTTAAAGCAGGTGCAGTAGAAGTCTTTGGGGCCCTGCTTGAAAGTTATTGAAAGTTTTTGTTCATATATGATCAAATAATGTGCTTTCAACAAGCGCGGAGGAACCTCGGATGCTGCATGGGTTGAACAACCTTCAACCAGTTTGATAAGATTTGTACTATATGATCTATTTTGTTCAAGGCCTTTATCAACTTTCAGTGGGCCTGAGACCACATCGAGGGTAGCAGCAGCTGCGGGTAGTTCCCATACAGGTACTGGTACAACATGTGACAAGCTTCAAGTGTGTCCAATCAGTAGGAATCCCCACATAGTCATAATTTCAAGATGAACCCCAGCCCAACAGATTTCGCTGAGATCCTATTAGGAAGTGCACTGATTTCCTGAGATGTAACATCATTTGTGCTAGCTTATTCTGATGTGAGAAGTGATGTGAACCATTCAATGATCCAACACCCCACCCGTCACCTGATCCCCTCCCACCTGCCCACCTGCCCTATGTTGGCCGAACGTTTCGGAGTCTGGCCAAAGGTGTACCGGAGGCCACCAAAATGGAGGAGCTCACGCTTGCCGCTGTTTCTTTTTAACCGCGGGTGCGGTCCATTGCACGGGAACCTTCCCAAGCTGTGGTTGCTGAAGTGAGCTGGATCTACTACTTGCTCTCCGAACGTTTTTTGCGAAAAGTCGAAAGAAGAGTTGAAACAGTGCACGAAAAGGCCACGATGATCAAAAGAGTCACCCGCCAAAAGGTCCTGGGGCTTGCCGGGTCCTTTTGGCGGGCGTCTCTTTTTTGAAGGCGTTCCTGCTCGAGGCTGACTCACTTTGACATACTTTGACACGGCTGGAGATGTTTGGAAAACAACCTATATATAACCATATCTGTAGGAGCAAAAGCAATGTTTGGATCAATTCTGCTAGACTTTTGAAGGGCACGGCATGTGACTGGTGTCCAAAACTCTCGAAAAGTGAGAAGAATTTCGAAAAGTCGAACAGTCTCGCTGCGTGCTTTCGTTTCCTTTAACTTTTCTCACTTTTTGACTGTTTGTGTTTTGCTTGGTGTCTTGCAAATAGATCGTGGCTAAAGGATTTAGCGAGCTTAGCCTATGACGATGAGGAGATGCCCGTCTTGGAATAAAGGGATAAGGACCTCCAGAAACGTATACATACTGTATACCACCCACGCATACTGCACTTGGGACATCCCGATATCACATACTATATACATACATACGTGTGAACCACTAAGTCACTAAGCCTCAACAAAAGGACAGCATTTTTCTTGAGCTGCGCGGGGAACACATCGGCGAAATCGCTCACGGCGTTGCTCTAGGAGCCACCAGTCACCTTGGAAGAACCAAAAGCAGGTGTTGCACGAAGGTGCCCTTGCATCCCCGGTCGGGGCATTGATTCCTTTGTTTAATGCCCAGTCCTGGTAGTGCTTGTTTCTTTTCTGGGAAACCAATGGTCCAGCATGGTCCGGCTCGTTCTTTTTGTATTGTAGCGATAGATGGAGAGGACGAGTCAGAAATCAGATTTAGATTTTGCCAGAGCATCTGCAGCTAGCTGCACTCGATTGGTGTCTTTATCAGAAAGAGTTGGTGAAGCCGAAGCATGTGTTCTTTCAATCGCCGATGTGCTGAAACAAAGTCAACAGAAACACGTTGGATTCCAAAGCATCCCAATTCCAAGTACGTGGGAAATCTCCGGAATCGCCGATAGAATCGATCCATCTTGCCTATGCTGTCGGTGATGGAACATGGGTCAGACACGACGTGACTCGACGCGTGACGACTGACGCGTGACGACTGACGCGTGACGACTGACGCGTGACGAGAGCCGACGTAGGAATGCCATCCCTTGGGGATTGACAGAGAGATGCGGAACGTAGAGACATGAATTAATGCAAATCCATGAAAAGCCTGGGTGACTGTGGGTTACAAGTCTCGTTCGGTTGTTTCACTGAAGACCAATCCTCAAACAGTGCAAACCCGGGCGAGGCGCTACAAGCACTACAGTGATGCAGACCTTGTGGGAAGCTTGGAGATGTTGGAATCTGAAGCGCTTCTGGCATAGAAGTGTTGGTACAGCATCGGGAAACGGCTGAAAAGGTCCTCCCTCGATGTCTGAGAGAATTAGATAGAATTAGATTTGCAGTAGTTGTCAAAGACATACATAGAAATAGATGAAATAGTAGGGTCAATGCATGTGTGTGTATACTTTCTTTGATGCTTCCAACATCTTCCAAGGGGTATGAGCATGTCTTCCAAGCGGTCTTCACATTCCTTTCATTCATCCGTGCTCGGTTGGAGAGGTTCTTCAACGAAAGCTTTGTGGCCCTGCTGTTGTTCCAACTCAAGCCAAACTGGGATTACTAACAAGCCAACATAGCAAAAACCTCAGCACCAGAACACTGCTGGTGAAATTCTGGGAACCGTCCATGGATTCGGGACCGCCTCAAAGACGCCCCACCCCGCTCGTTGCTGCAACACGAGGCTTCGTTGCTTCGAGAGAAGGACGATGCGGCGTCCGGAAGGGACGTGGAGCCGGAGCATCGGTGCGTTTGGGGAGGTGACTCGAGCCAAGTCTGTGAAGGGTCCATGTGTTTGTCGTGTGCGTGTGTGTTTTCTCACTGGTTTTTTGGGCCCTCGATTCATTGGATCAGTTTTAGAGTGACTGCTGAACATTGATCCTCAAAAAACACTGTATTGGCGTTGAGCTGTTGAAAATCCGAGAATCTAAAGGTATATTTAAATCAAGGGATCATCATATTCTATTCAATATTCCATTTTCCTTACACATGAAAATGAAACATCCCAAATTTCATTGAAATATTACTATGGAAAATGTTTCCGGAACAAACACAACGATTGAAGAAATCTCAAAGTATCTTCACAAACCGTCAAACCATGAATAATATATAATCAATAATCACCATCAATGGGCTTTGCAACAGGACGACTGACAAAAAAAATAAGCAAAATAAATATGTACATAATTTAATTATCTAAATATTGATAATAATAATTATATATTCATATATATATATATTGTAATTTAGCTATATAAATAATAGTAATAGCATATTGATTTTATATATGGATATTTTAAATAAGCAATATATATAATATACAATAAGTTATATATATAGTATGTTAGGTAAATATATATATATTATTAATGTATATTTCTTTGAAATTATATTATTAATGTATATTTCTTTGAAATTATATGTATTTGTATAATATAGATATATATAATATGGATTTATATAGTAGGATTCTTTTCGAGAATTATCCGATAAAATTGGAACGATACAGAGAAAATTAGCATGGCCCTTACGTAAGGATAATACGTACAAATCGAGAAATATACTAAGTGTTTAAGCGCCATTTGCAGATTAAGAAAGGGGCGTCGGGCATTCTTTTTTACTTTGGTGTTATGTTTTGATTTTTGTTGTTTCCGGAATGTATTTGATCGTATCGTTGCGTTTCCACCTTTTGAGTCTGCAGAGCTTGGTCTTAAGTCTAGGCGACATGGAAATATACTGTTGGTTTGATGTTCTTTCCATGTCGGGCGTGAGGGTTATTCCACCTGCCTTAGGTGTGGGTGAGAGCCACATCACGGCTTCCCTTCCTCGTGCACACATGGCGAAGTATCGTCTGGCTTAGGCCACGTCCCGTCCCGGCATAGGTGCAATCGCCTTATGAGGTCGTTCACTAGGGCCTGCTTCAGATTATTGGACACCGGAATGGCCACCTATAAGCATTAGGTATTGCTTCCAGTACAGGCTTTTTTGTTGGAGGCCATTGCTAGTTGGAGGCCATTGCTATTAGGTGGCCATCGCTCGCTTTTTTGTTGGAGGCCATTGCTAGTTGGAGGTCATTGCCATTAGGTGTTGGAGGCCATTGCTAGGTTGGAGGCCATGTGCTATTAGG